TCCTGCAGAAGGCTTTTTCCAACGACGCGGCTTCTCACTCCGGATCCAACGCTGCGTGAGCTACGTTGAAGAGATGAAAAATCAGTGATATCAGCCCATCGAGCCATATTTATAGGGCTAGGCCACGCCTACTCTGGCGGGAAGGTGACGCAGTGGGCGGGAAGCGCCCCCATTGGACCGTCACCGAAGGGCCTCTCTCGATAGGCTGCTGCAGTTGCAGCAGGACAGCCAATAGGCACGCAAGCCGCCTTTGCCTATGTCTGTACGCTGCCGCAACGCGTTTTACATGAATTCAAAATTAAGGATAATTTTTTGGCTTCAATATCTCGTGGAAAAGAGGTTTTTCCCCTAGCGTAAGATATTACGCAGTACGAGAGAACCTCTCGTAAGAGATCTTATATTTATAAAAGTATTTGCATCTAGTGAAATGGCAAAATTATTTGTTTAAATTACATGGAAAACGTCTCGGATTATGACTGTTACCCTGATTCCCTGAGAGCAGGGAATGAGATACTGCGTCCTGAGACACTATTGGGGAACGCCTCAGCGTGACTGATGACGGAAGCACAGTATGGGCCTCAACCGAATGACTCTCAAAGTGAGAGGAAGCCAAGAAAGAAATACTTCCTGTTTTAATCTAGCAGAGGGGGCTTGAATCAGAAAGACCCACATCTCCAGCTACTGCTAAACTAGATGTGCTATTGTATATATATATAACTAGGACAAAGTAGCAACAGAATCCCTGTAACAGCTTCACAAGTAATATAGGGGCTTGAGGGAACGGAGGCCGACTAACCTCCCCCTTTTTCTTTTAAGGAATTGACCTAACTATGTTCTACCTCCTAAAGCAGTGGTCGCCAACCGCGATCGACTGGTAGATCTTTATCACTGTCCCAGTAGTTTCCGGAAAAAAAAGTTTTCAGTTTTGCAAGCATCTTTTTTTCTTAATCCAACTGCTTTATTAATTTCAATGAAGGAAGCAATGGCCATTACTGCAGAGACTATTTTCAAGGATTTCAAAAACAAAGACGACATAAAAGCCTCACTCCGTGCTGTTGCTCTCGGCCCTGCATCAGTGACAAGGAGGGTCGAGTCACTGTCAGAGGACGTGGATCGACAGGTGTTAAAGGACTTGTCACTCTGTGAATATTTTTCACTGCAGTTCGATGAATCTATGGATGCAGTGGACACAGCTCAGCTTGTTGTTTTTGTTAGAATGGCTTTCCAGGATTTTACAACAAAAGAGGACTTCCTCACTCTTTTGCACTTAAAGGAGAGAATGCTATGATATTTACAATGAGTTTAAAAAAATGTAAGAGAAAATGATATCCCCATTCATAAACTGGTAGCAATTACCACTAACGGAGCACCGGCGATGCGTGGTGTGCGCCTTGGTTTTATAGCGCTGTGCCGTAATGACCCGGATTTTCCCGACTTCAAGAATTATCATTGTGTCATTCATCAGCAGGCCTTGGCAGGGAAAGTCGTGGACTTTTCTCACGTAATGTCATTGGTGGTCAAACTGATAAACTTGATACGAGCAAAAGCACTTCAGGGTCAATTATTCAAGGCGTTACTGGATGAGCTCGATGCCACGTAAAGAGACCTACTACTTCATGCTGATGTGCGGTGGTTGAGCCGCGGGAAAGTGCTGCAGTGGTTTGTTGACTTACTGCATGAGATAAAGACATTTCTGTCTGCAAGAAACGAGGAGCACAAGGAACTGTCAGATGATGCGTGGCTGTGTGACCTGGGATTTCTGACAGACTTGACCACAAAGCTGAATACACTCAACAACGAGCTCCAGGGAAAAGACCGACATCTGCCCCACATGATCAGCGCAGTAAATGCTTTTAAGTCTAAGCTCGGTGTTTGGATCACACACCTTAAAAATGGGAGGCTAACACACTTTCCCAACCTGGAAAAAATGTCACAGAGCATTAAAGACAAGGATGTTTTTCACCTGAAATACTATGCTGACCTGTACAAAGTTGCAACAGAGTTCAATATGCGTTTTGGTGAGTTAAACAAAATGGAATGTATTGCTGCATTTGTCTCAAACCCATTCATGCTCATTGATATAGAACAGGTTGCAGCCAAATTCCAGCAAGTATTTTCTTTGTCAAGTGGAGTTGACATGGAGATGGTTGATTTGCAAAATTACATCGAGCTGAAAGCCAGATCAAGGGACAGTGACTTTTGGGGACTTGTCAACAGAGAGAAGTTTCCTTTCTTCACTGTATGTGCACTAAAAGCGAGTGCCTACTTTGGATCAACTTACCTCTGTGAAATGCCATTTTCACAGATGAAAATAATCAAACCAAAATACAGGAGCCGCCTTACTGACAGACACCTCACAGACTGCCTCAAACTGGCTGTCTCTAGCTATGAGCCAGACTTCAGAGGACTCACAGATAGTATTCAGTCACAGGCATCACACTGACTTGAGTGAGTAACATCACTGCAGCAGTACTGCCTTCTGGTGGCATTATGAAAAGTGATGTTGCATAAGATGGGACATAACGGCACTTAGCCTAATTGAGATTGTTGAGAATTTTGTTTGTACAGTTCATTTATAAAATGTTAAGGGTAGTACCTTCAGAAACTTCAGTGAATAAGCACTTTATTGCTGACAATGGCATTTAGTTCAGTGCCACTTCATCTGATCATATGATGGTTGCATCCAGTTTAAAGTAAAAAAAAAGAGAAAAGAACATTTAATGAATATTAAATTCAAATACAATTAAAATACTAAATAAAAGGCCTCAAGTTGGAAGTACAATCTGGGCTGTCTTTTTCTGTCTATTCTTCGATAGGTAGATCTTGCCTTTCATTAAGGCCGAGGTCAGGGATCTTCAGCTTGAAAAGATTGGTGACCACTGTCCTAAAGGCTAGCTGCAGGAGGCTAAAGAATGTCAACAACTCTTCCACAATAAAACTACGAAGCTACAGGGAACTAAGATCTCTGTAAAACGACTCTCACTACTGGGAGGAGATCTAACAAAGCTCACACCTGTTATTTGGAGAGCGGAAGCCGCAGACATGTGAACTCTCATTTTAAGAGGAGACCTACCACGCTTCTGTTATTATATTGAAAGGTGTGCTTGCTAACAAAAAGCCCAAGCTGGACCGTCAGACTATTTATTTTTCATCATCATTCCTGCCCTTTCTAGGGCCTGATGTTGCGTGAGGAGGGGGAGGGAAGAAGAAGAGGCTAGCTGTAATAACCCTGAAAAGGGGAAGGAGGCGATGTTATTTGCCTCTGCTGGTTCCAGGACGCTGGTCGCATCTGAACTGGATCACTTCCCTGAGGTCCTGCTTCTTCCTAGATGGAGGAGGCGCAAAAGCAGCAGCACTGGCCCCATTTTCGGTCCTCAGACCGAGACAGGCCAGGGCCCCCTGACTGTCTGGGTGCAGACTTGGACCGGCGTGGTATACAAGATCTAAAGGCAGCTGAAAACGCTTTTTCCTCTCTGAATTTCCCGACCATCACCTCAACGGATACGCCAAACAATTCAAAGGGTGAAACTTGGCCATCGACAAGAAAGACTCTCGATCTCCCGACCGCGCCGGTAGTCTGCTTGGTGGCCCGGAGAGCCAGGTATGTGGTGCGTATATGTATATGTCAGCGACCGCGTCAGGGAAAAGACCCGGACCCTGGTCTAAGTCTCTCAGCAGGTCGGCTTGATATACACTGCCATTGTGTGCAGTGCAGCACCAGCCTGACCCGCTGCCACACATGCCCTGCCATCTATGCGTGATGTAGTCTTAAGTGGCTTAGATGGCAGGGCCGGAGCTTTCAGCATTGAGGTCTCACCCAGTGAGAGATAGCTTGCAAACGTCTCTTCAATGGGAGTCATTGACACATTCCCATGCATGCACATTCCCTCGATATTTGCATAGTTGGCATGCTGATATCGATGGATGCGGGCAGAGTACGGGTTCTTCCATACCTTCTCAATCTTGGAATGCAGATCGGGAAGGAATGGAAGGCTCACGGGAGCTAGTGGATTGTGGCCAGAAAGAAACTGCTCGTCCAGCCTTCCCTGAGTGGTCTCTTCCATCCCGCGCTGCCATGGCAACTCGAGCCTGGCAGTAGCGCGCTCCGTTACCTCCACCAGTTCAGCATACATGGGGCAGGGGGGCTTGAAGCCAGAAGAGCACTGGCTGCTGGACCAGAAGACGCATTTGACAATGCATCTTCTTCAAGCAGCTCAGCCTCGTCAGCTGCTGAGGGGCGAGAGATTTATACCTCTCTCAAACTCCTCAGCAAGCTCCATCTGAGATCACCACGATCTCAGCCTCCTCTCTGCCTCAGCATGAAGAGAAGAAAGGACAGATGAGAGCAGAGTGTCTTAAGAGAAAAACACGCACAGTGCATGCAAATGGACCCCTGTTGTGTGTGTCACCAGGTGTCAGAAATCTCAGACACGGGTTAGCACACTTCTTAAAGTACTTGTCACTTGCCATATTCAGTACTCAGCAAAACAGTCCCTGAAGACGAAGAAGAGGATGACATGTTCTCTAGGCAACCCTTTTATACTTCCTGATCAAACTAGTAGGGACGTCATGGCTGTCGCTGGCTAATACAATAGCCGTGATTTTCGCAGTGTTTCATTCATCAGTCACGCTGAGGCGTTCCCCAATCAGGACATAATTGTGCGAATTCCCTTTCGAAAGGTTGTATTATTGTCATCTAGTGTGTCACTACAGTTCTGTTTTCATTCTTCGTGGTGTGTAATAAAAAGCATGTGAAACTTCAATATTCTGTTCCTTAGTTACAGCAAATATACACACATAGCAAATATACCTTGCATATAGGGATGTGCCAAATACCTTATAATTACTTAAAAACATAAAATAAATTCTAATGAATAATATAAAGAATCATTTTTTTTTTAAATAAGTCAATGGGATCATTCAGTACCCTTAGTCCTCTCAGTTTTTTCATGTGCATATGCATGTAAGCACAAATAATCACTTGCTTTTGTATATATCAGGTTTATGGATTCCAAACAGCATAAAACAGGAAAACCTGATCCAGGTAAATAGAGTAGTTCCCTTTAATGCACGATGAAACAATGTGAAATACATTTACATTTAACCCTCTGGGGTCTGAGGTGTTTTCGGGGTCCTTGAGATGTTTTGGCATGCTCTGACATTTCTGCTTTTTTCAGTTGCTTATAAACATATTAATGGCACAGGTGAAAGTACACTCTATATAGCACACACAGGGCTACCATAATATGTGAGCAACATGTATGTACATGTTTGTATTTTTGAGAGAATATTGTTTATGCGTGGTTATTGAAAAAACGAAAAACTAAAGTTTCTAATATAAGGCCACAAATAACATACTAAATATCTGTCCACAAGACTTTTGACTAGTGGATGTTGTCGCCTAGAGTTTTTGCTTCAAATTGATCTGAAAATCATTCTGCCTAATCATTCACAAAAAAACAATAGATTGTTTTAAATTGTGAAAAACATTTTTTTGTTTGCAAAGGCAATATGCGGATTGGCGGAACGGCCCAACCCCCTCATGAATAATTAGGCAGTTCTCACCTGAGCAGACTGCATACTAATGAGCCTTTCATTCAGGGGTGTCACACAAGAAAGAATGCAAGGACAATATAAATATAAATAAATAAATATTTATACACACACACACAGACACATATACACTACCGTTCAAAAGTTTGGGGTCAGTGAGAATTTTATTTTTATTTTTTGGAGGAAAGAAATCAATACTTTTATTTATTAAGGAATAATTAATTTGATCGAAAGTGACAGTAAAGACATTTATAATGTTACAAAAGTCTTTTGAACTTCCTATTCATCAAAGAATCCTAAAAAAAAATAAAAAACTGTACAACTGACAGACCAACAACTGTTTCAACATTGATAATAATAATAAATGTTTCTTGAGCATCAAATCCTCATATTATACTGATTTGTGAAGGATCATTTGACACTGAAGACACTGACACTGGTGATGCTGAAAATTCAGCTTTGATCACAGGAATAAATTACACTTTACTATATATTCACACAGAAAACAGCTGATTTACACTGGAATAATATTTAATACTATAACTGATTTTTGTTGTATTTTTAATCAAATAAGTGCAGCCATGGTTAGCAGAAGATAATTCTTTTAAAAGTATTTAAAATCGTACCGACCCCAAACTTTTGAACGGTAGTGTATATATATATATATATATATATATATATATATATATATATATATATATACAAACAATCAAAATATAAATGAAAGCCAAAAGCACATTTTTAGTCACACCTTTTAGCCATCCACATACCATTTTTAGCCATCCACCGCGGTAAAAATAAACCAGTCGCATTTCAAAGTCGTTCGCGAAATGACCGCCAGGTGGCGCAAATGGACATTTAGCAAAACGTAAGTGGGGCTAATGTCTTTAGCCTAAGGATGAAATACTACAAGTTATGGTAATTTCCAAATAAGCCTACAACAAACATTTATAGCCTACTCCGTAATTGTTGGTCATACAGATAAGATATAATCTTTTAAAACTGTAAAAGGCTAAAGTATAGGCCTACACTCACAGGCTAAAGACAAAACGTTTTCTCGCTCATGTCAGAAACAGACGTTTGGGTATTTTTCAGTGAGAAAATTCATAGCCGAGCGGTAGAACTTACGGTTCGTCATCAAAATGACACGGGTTCAAATCCCGCACAAACATGGTCTGTTGTAAGTTTTATATTTATTTATATTTGTCTAGCTCTAAAACTCTGTTACACCATACAGTTTTTTTGCTTATATTTATAAAATATAATTATCATGCATTTCCATTTTACACTAAGGAACAAAATAGTATCCAACAGAACGACTTTGCATCTGTATAATAATAGGCTACCAATCGTAATTTCAAAAGCAGTTCTGTAAAAAATAAATTATATATAGCCTATATATATATATATATATATATATATATATACTATATATATTTTTTTTTCAGGGCTGCCAACTCTCACGCATTGAGCGTGAGACTCACGCAATTGACCCAAATCTCACGCTCTCACGCCACACCCCCGATTTCTCACGCTGAAGTGTCAACCCGGTCGGTCAAATTCCTAAAAGATATAGTTTATCTATAGATCTACCTGTTGAGCCACTCGTGATCGACTAGTTATACCGCAAATTAGTTAAAATATCCCGTAATCTATCTAGAGCGAGCGTGCATGCGAGACAGATATTGTGCTCCAAACCATGCGCGCGCATGGCAGAGAGGTCTGTTCCCTACAACCTAGAGTTTTTAAAAACATGATTTTAAGTAAAGTGTGATTTGCCAGGGGGGACTGGGATTTCCTTCTCGTCTAAACATCCCTGCTTCTGCTGAATTATTTTAATCCCCACACCCCTCCCTCCACAGCTAATCAATGCTATAGGCTACTTCACCAATATCAAATATATAAAATAGAGATATGCAACAGGCACGTTTAAACGACAAACAATAAAATCAAAACCAGCGTTTCAGTTGTTCATTAGTTCCAGTGGCCCTAATGCATGCACGGCTTTTCAAAATTTCACAAAGCGTGTTGAGATTATTTTGAATGAAATATTGAAGTTTATAATTAAGTGTTTTGGCACACCACGCCGAGTGGCCCTATGCATTTTTCTAAAGTCGGGTTTTATTCTGGCATGGTGAGTTAGTGTTCGACAAACACGGCGGCGCGTTCATTTAGATTAATTTATTTTTCTCATTATTACAGCTAAAATAACTTAATAGGCGACTCCGTAATTTTTGGTCATACAGATAAGAGTAGAGTAGCTTACATCGTTCAAAACTGTAAACTTGTATTCATATTAGGCTAACGACAAAAACAGTATATCTGTCGTCTCTGTCTCCGGGAACTGCGCGTCACAAAAATGAACCGAAAGCCACTTCAGCTCAGTCACGATAAGAAATCGGCTATGTCTAAAGCCTTTAAATGTCTAAATATTTAGGCTAATAAATGTTATCTGATTATGTAGGCTAATCCATATGAAAACGAGAGGTACAGAGGATCTACTCAAACATGTAATGTAAGCGCTTCCCAATGAGAAAATGACAAGACAAGGGTGAAAATCTCGCTCGTATTAAATGTAGGCTAAATCGCCCTGAATTAAAATGTAAAAACAGATCAAATAATGTATTTGTCGAAATGTTGCGATATTGTTTCATTTAAGTTCATAATTATTCTATAAATGTTATTTAATTTAGCAGCATTACCACGAAGCACCGTGTTTCGATATTTATTTGAATAATACAAAAAATAAAAACTTAATTCACAAATTGCATGCCTGGTTGTAAGGATCCAAAGATCCCTGTAGACTTTAATATTGAGTTGAACATTTTGTTCATGACAACAAATTAACATGCGTTTTTTCAGATTATATTTAGTTTTGCTTGGAAAAAGCTGGCCCAAACCAGTTTTATTTCATCAATTATTGAAATAATGAAATATTTAGTAATAAACTTTTATGACAGAAATATCACTAGGCTACATGTAACTTAAATCATTTAATTCCTTCATTATCAACACTGTCTAGAATAGCGATTTAAGTGTGAATTGCGACTTCTCTTTGTGTTAAGTCAGCCTCAGACTCCGATAGCCTGTGGGGGGTTGGAGGGACAGTTGCTGGACAAAGGTGTTAATGTTCCTCTTTCATATGGAGAGTGTCGGATAGCCAGCCTGATGAGCAGGCAAAATTATTGTAAGGATAAATCTGTGTCTAAATGTAGGCCCCATATCTTATTAAATTATAAATATTGTAGTTTATTTATTGTAGCCTATTTAAAGTTTTTTTCACACAAAATTTCAATTGAAGTTATTGTAAGGTGAATTCAACAAGGCATGCTGTGTCTTTGAAGCAACAATTAAAGGCTAAATAATTTTTTCGTGATTTGTATGGCTGACACGCAGCGACATATACAGTATTATCAGCTGTATGATGTGTTTTTACCCTGAAATGTTTAATTTCGAGAGAGACCCGGCGCGCGCAGTGAGGGAGACTAAATAAACTTGTTAAAAGGAGATCCAGCGCGAGAGAGGCAAAGAGAAACGCATGTTTTTAATTTAATTATGTTTCTTTGGACAATTTTCGTTTTGTACTGTTTTAGTTTTTTAATTTAGCTGTAATTTCTTTGGCAATACAAATTTAAAATGTCGCAAGAATAAGATTAGCCTAGTGTTTCTTATTTTGCATCGCAAAAGAAATAAACTCTAAACCCGATGCAACCCTGTTTTAAATTTAAAAAAACTGTCCCGACACTTTATTTAAACCTTGAAATGTTCGAACTTGGTTTCAAACTTAAGTAATTTTAGTGTTCTTTTACATTACACAATAATTTAGCAGACTAAAGACAAGCTTCTTCATTTTCATTTTCTGATGCAATCGGCTGACAAACTTCCTTCATCAGTTTTTGTCGTTTGTGCAGCGGCTGCGGTTCTACAGGAATGTAGCAAATTTATGTTGTAATGATAATTAAACAAAACTCTTGACTTTAAATAAGTAAACAGTTATAAACAGTTACTTATTTAAGCATCAAGGTGGTAAAATATAAACGCTGTAGGACAACATCGGTTAACAACATGTATGCTACATTGAGATTCGATCTCGGGTTGATTGAAGCTCCCGAAGCTCGTGTTGTTGCGTTGATCACTGGGCTACCGTCTGTACGCTGTTAAAGTTGTAAAGCCTCATTGATGTAGCCTAAATGTTTTTATTGCAATGTTTTATGTTGAAATGTTTTCATTATTTATTCAATTACATTTCAGTAGCCTAATTTCAGTATTGTGATTATGAATTATTTTAACTACGTTTCACTTGTTGAATTCATCTGCTACCAGCTTTCAATCGCTCTGGATCAGCCGCGGTGCGGCAGCAGATTACGCATTAGAGAGAATAAACCGGAATAAACGAACACTTTTCAGAGTCTATGATTGTAGCGCCTCTTAGCGGTAAAAGGCAGCAAATACACCACACATTTTACCGCCGCGGTGGAACGGCTGATGTGG